AGCAGGAAGGGCCTGCCAGGGCCTCAGCAGGAGGGTGGGAACCTGCAGGGAGGGGGCAGAGGAGCCAGGGGGGTCAGAGAAGACCTCGGGGGGAAGTGGGGGACAGCCCGCCATCCTGCGACGGGCGCGTTGGAGGACGGTAAGCAGATACACTCGTGCGGGCAAAGGGAACTTGCGTCCGGGGAGGGAGGAGGGGAGGTGGCAAGCGCCCCCTACAGCCCCGGGGCCACCCAGGACACTGGGCCCACCCGATCCCCAGGTTCTGGGTCCCCTCTCGCAGCGTCGCTCTGCCTTCTGCACGAAAGTCACTGCAAATGGATGTGCCCGTAAGAGGCAAACGGCAGCCTCTTAGGCTGAAATGCTGGCAAAAGACCCATCGTTTTTCATCTCTGATTAAAACGTCTGAGGAAGAAAGTGGAAATAATTCAGCAAAGGCAGCTCCCACTCTGGGAGCTGCGGGATGCAAAGCAGGCTGGGAGGTGGTGGCAGACGGCAGCCCTGGCCCCGCTCACTGCACAGCAGGGCAGCCAGGCCCGTCCTGCCAACAGACAGGGTCCACTGGGCAGGGGGGTCACCGGGCAGGGGGGTCACTGGGCAGGGGGGTCACTGGGCAGGTAGGTCCACTGGGCATGTGGGTCACCGGGCAGGTGAGTCACTGGGCATGTGGGTCACCGGGCAGGGGGGTCACTGGGCAGGAGGGGTCACTGAGCAGGTAGGTCAACTGGGCATGTGGGTCACCGGGCAGGCAGGTCACTAGGCAGGTGGGTCACTGGGCAGGGGGTTCACAGGGCAGGTGGGTCACTGGGCAGGGCCCTGTGATCAGCACATGCTGCTCTGATTGGTGTGTGAGGTGGACCAGCACTTCACAGTTTACTTTCCCGTGAAATCAGGCTCGGACCACGGACTGGCAGCAGCGTGGACACACATGGGGCCCAGCTCTCACAGGTGTTCTGTGCGGGTCTCATTGCTGGCCCCCCTCCTGGGTGGCCCCCTAACCCGATACCCTCACATGGCACCTCGTTCCCAGGCTCCAGGCCCTGTCCGGCCACTGCCTGTGCCCTGATCACAGGTTCAGGGTCACCACCTGTGTGGCCAGGTTCGTTCCCCCTTCCCAACACCCTCTGCACAGACCACGGCGCAGGAGGGGACGCTGGGGAAGGTCCCCGTCCAGGGAGGCCCTGCAGCCCTCAGTCCCTGAACCTCAGCAGCTGCCTGTAAGCGAGAGGCTGGGAGGGACGTGTGACACCCGCTTGGGCGGGAGGAGAACAGCTCCACGGAGCTAAAGCGGCTCAGACCCGCTCAGACCCGCAGTGGCTCAGAGCCTTTACTGCTTAACCAGTTCAGACCAATCGCCAGCCAGTGCTGTGAGCATTGCACCTGACTCACGGCTGAAGTCACCCCTCCGATGTGTAAGCCGCGCGGTCATGTGACCTCACAGCTCACAGAACCGTCTCCCTCCCACCTCTCACTGTGCTGGGAAAGTCCAACCTGAGGTCAATGGACATTTTTAAAGTCTGAAGTCACCCCTCCGATGTGTAAGCCGCGCGGTCATATGACCTCACAGCTCACAGAACCGTCTCCCTCCCGCCTCCACTGCACACACTGTGCTGGGAAAGTCCAACGTGAGGTCAATGGACATTTTTAAAGCGCTTTTTAAAAAAAATTTGGACCTAAAACATCAAATAGTAAGCTATCGTCCAAAGAATACGGATGAAAATATCCTGAATTTATTTAATGAACTCATCCAAAAAAAAAAATCTGAAACACCCACTGTAAGTCCAGTTAGCTACGCAAGTGTGAGCATAATATGCTTGAGGGTCCCTGTGCATAAAGCCAACAAATCACTCGTCATGGTGAGCGTGCACGTACCTGCCAGAGGCGGCCGCCCGCGCAGGACCCTGGACAGCGTCCGCTCCCGGGAGCTCCCCTTCCTCCCTCACTGAGTCAGAGCGCACTTCCTCACAATTATTTACTTACACTGAAAAGCAGAGAGATGGACTGGTCACCTTCGCACCGGGAAATTAAGCTCAAGACCCTACGATGAGGGCCTCTATTTTAATTCATGTTCTACTCTACCCAAGTCTATTCGTTTAATTTAATTAATTTTGGGATCAACCCATTTCATTGAGGGCCTGCAGGGGAGGGTTGAATTGCTGGGAGGACAATGAGATCCGACGTCCTTGGCCCGGCCGGATCTCCCAAGCTTCACAG